CCAAAATTCACATACTTAGTATGAATTAGGCTCAGTCACATCCACTCAACACTGCCGCTGCTGTTCTAAACCATGGCTGCTCTCATGGCTACTGCACCATCTTTCCAGTTGGTGTTTTTAGAGACAATTCTGCCCAGCCACTCTCACCCAGGAGGGATATTATAACCTCCCTCCTTAAATATCCACAATAATGCTACTTCATGCAAAGCACTACTGAACAAAACTAATCATCCACTGAAAGAGCCTCTAGGGAGTTTTCACTGAATGTTATTAAATGACCAAAATGTAAATGCATTGCTATACAGAGCCTGAGAGGTTTCAAATCACCACTGACTGAACAAAGTCAGTCCAAGGTTAGCGCATAAAAACAGGAGCACCACTACAGGCTAGAGACAAGGCCGAGACACCCACTCATGTCAGGCCAAGGAAGAGCCTTTTTGAAAACCTGGCTCATGATGTGCATTTATCTGACACGAGGTCGCCTAACAGAGCGAAGCTTGTTGAGATTTTTCCATGCAAAAGTGTGGGCAAGAGACATTCTTTAGAAAGACAGGGGTGTATGACTCTACTCCTTATTGTAGCAGAGCGGATTCTAAATAAAACCATTCAAATAGTTGTGAATGTTACAAAAAATAAATGCCATCTACTAACTTAAGTGTGAACCAGTTGCCTTACACCAATTTTCTCTCTATGGGGTCTTTGATTTATCATCTTTCGTAATATCATCTTGAGTAGTGGAAGGATGGGGGAGGGGCTCATACTATGCAGGCACCCTCGCTCAAATCAATTTTTCGTTAAAGGAATGGTTCCATGAAAAATCAGATTTACAAAAACTTTCTACTTACCCCAGATGTGGTCGCCCCCCCAAGACATGTTTGGTGTCCAAATTTGCTTCTTTGCACTGTAAAAAGTGGCTCATCAGATCTACCTAAAAAAGATTACTCCATGTGGTACCAAGCAACTGACCTAGTTTTATTCAACTTAAAAAAACTATGTTGATTGAAAGAATCGTTCATTCAAAATATTTATTTAGGTTGAATAAAACTAGTTCATTTACTTGTTACTACATGAAGTCTTTTTTTAGGCAGATCTGATGAGCCATTTTTAGTGTAGTTTATCACTGGAGATTTGAGGCTAATTTTGCTAACAAACACTAGAAGTCTACAGACACCTTAATATTTTACATAAATACACCCCCACAACTTCTTTCAACCCATTTAAACATCATCCAAGTCTATATTAAGGTGGTGTTAATGTGGTTTAGGACACAGTATCTCTTACTGTGAACTATAACAATGGAAAAACTTCACAGTGTAGCTGATCTGTCAGCCATTATAGACAATGGTGTTGCACTAAATTCTGACGCCTCTAAAGAATCTGGCTCTTTTCACACATGCACATGGATGCTGGATTAACACAAACACTATCTGTAGCGTCCATATGCCTGTACAACGTCTGTGTACGCAATGGGCAGTCGAATTTAACACTTTTTTAATTTAACAACTCTTGCTGTCTGAAGTGGCTATACGGTAAAGTTTTGTCCATTTTAGCTCTCAGTAAGTCATACTGTATCCTTAACCAGATCAGCAAGTCAGCACAACCTTAATTAAGACATGGGTAAGGTCTGAGTGGGTTAAGAGACGTTTTGGGGATGTTTTCAAAGAAAAGATTTGAGTGACAATTGACCTCTAATGTTCATTAGCAGCATTAGCCTTAGAGCTCCAGTGTTAAACTAAAGCCAAATTTGGATGCCAGACATTTTTTGGTTGGTTGACTACATAAGAGTTGGTGGAGACATTATAAAGGAGGAGGAGACAGTTCACTGGTTGAAAAATGAATGGGAGAGAACCTAAAAACACCCAACATGTTTACAGGGAAAGTCCTGCTAAACAGCAAGCCAACCAGCAAGCCAGACCAACATTGGCCTTGTTGCTCAAACACTAAAGTTTATACACCAAACCTGTTTTGGCAGACTGACCACATTTGGAAGACTGTGTAAATTAAATTTTTCACCAATATTTCACTGATAAAGACTAGGGCTTTGGGGCTTGTTTTGAGTGCTGGCACACGCATGATCCAAGCATCAACAATATTTGAGAGCTTAATTATCAGAGCCAAAACAATCTGTGTAACAAATAGTTAGAGCTCAGTCAATTTTAATTGGATTATTGTGAATCAAATCTTGACCTCAGAATTGAAAACTGTATCGTTTCCTAAAATATCTATATCGTTCCACTCAACAACAGAGCTCTTCAGCAATGAAATAGTGAATATCTGTAACAATATATGCAATATGTAATAGCATTGCAAGTTTACAGATTAACAGCTCAGCATGTTTCACACTTCATGCCTACTGAACTGACAGTGGGGGAGGAAAATAAATGGTGTGACAGTTCATGTTGTTTACACAACAAACACCAAGGGACACACCACTTGGGTCCCCAACAAATTCCTTTCAGTGAGATTCCTTTTTATGAGAGAAATATACAAGTGTTTATTGTGATGGCTGGGGAAAAAAAAGAAAAAAAAAAGACTGAAAAAATACTCCCAACAGTATTTTAATACTAAGCCTTCTGACCAAAAGTAGAACATCCTCTGGTGGACTCTTGGCCTCTCCTACTACATTAGGTAATGAGGATAATACCATTTGTTGGCAGTCTCTTAGCACAGCTCGAAATCTCTTTCTCACATAAATAATGCAGGAACTCATCACACTAGAACTGCACGTGCTTTAATTAACTCCATGAAAGCTTCATTGTGGGTAAAAATGCATTTTGACATCAAAGCCAATTAAATTAGTCACTTGACTTTGAAGTTTTCACTAAGGATGCCAGCAACATTAAACGCATTAAGCCAAATCGAGATAAAGGTGACTCATTAGTTTCCTAGAGTAGGAAATGTAACTCTAATGTATGCTACAAAAATTCAGCTAAAAAAAAGCCATCACAGATGCTTTTGCTTATCTGACACAACAGATAAACAAGAAGAGAAGCAGTACAAACATGATACGCAGGAAAGGCTGCTTTTTTTTCCTAATGCAATCTGAGACAGATGTCCATGTGGTGATTACGGGCAACTGGAGTGGATTTTTGTAAGACAGGCTACAGTCTCTTTAAAGGGGCATTCCAGCCTAAAACTGGCATTTAATATATTATTTGATATGTTATGTAACATTCTGTGGTGCAGCACAGCATCTCAGCCTGACTTAATACACAGTTTTGTTTCCTTTATTGTGTTTCCGTCTATCACTGTTCTCCCACTACAGTTATCAGCATGCATTATGTAAATACATATAAATAGTCTTACAACCACTGGGCATCCCCAGTGCAGCGATAAAGATATCCTGACTGCTAGTGTAGCCAATGAGGTAGAGGCTAATAAATACAGACGTCATATTCAGCTTCCTAGCTGTAAGATAGCTATTTGGCTTCTGCATTAGCCAGCCAGTCAACATTTCACACAGACCACCTTAAGTATCCACTCCAAAGTGCTTGTAGTTTTCCAAAAGTTTGTCCCACATTCAAGATACATCATCAGAACAGAGTTTTTTAGTCTCACTCTAAAATCTCACTCTGGAGACTACTGTGGCTTCGTACAAGGCAAGAAAGTATTTTAGCAATAGATGCAGAGATGGTTACATTTTTCATTTTGGCCCATTTAATTTGCTTGGCCAGGAAAACAGATATTGAGCTCACATAAACAAAAACCCTGCTAAAGGCAACATGAAGATTTAATTACCTTAACAACCGACATACATTGGAGGAGGTTAAAGAGGTGCTATCAAGGGACAAACATAAAGGGCTTTCATGAGAACATGCAATCTCACACACAGTCCAGGCTTTGATGGACTAAGTATGACCTCTAGCCTGACTTCTGTACATCCACTGCAGGTCCAGTGCACTCTGAGTGACGCTCTTGTATAAAAGATCTGACAAATATCTATGACTTGGTGAATTTGTATCCTGTGCCCTGTGAACCAGATACATTTCCATATATGACTAATATCACATTACCTTTCAAAGGTTTGGAAACACAGGCTATGTTAACAATTTTGTTATAGTTTATATGCAATAATAATAATAATGTGAATTTAAATATTACAAATGGTTTGCTAAAATGTCTCTTAGGACAAGAACATGATTAAATGGTTACAGGTATATTAGATGTTTTATTCAATTTTATTCAATATTATATTTCAAGAATACTATGGACAAGAAGTGAATGAAATGATAAATAATATAATAATAGTAACTGTGGGTTGTAATATATTTACACTTACCCTGTCAAGGTTTCTGCTTTGAGATTTGATCTCCACTTTTGAAATATGATCAATTCTAGATATTATTTTATTATAACTTCATTCCTGATGTTCCGCTACTTTCTTCATTTTAGAATCTTCAACAGCTTTGCTCAGACAACTAAAGCTTCTATAAGTATTTATTTTTTTAGTGCCCTACTAATAATGTAAGACATTTGAAGTTGTATAGGACTCACATATTAGTATCACATAGGTATCATTTGATACATTCATCTGGAACCAAACTGGTTTTATATGACTGAAAAATGTGAATGGTAGTGTATGTGTTCATAAAAACTCACATTAGCAAACACTGTTCCTGAAATAGCAAAGATTATGCCTAGTTCTTTCCTGTTTTTCCCCCAGTTACAGAATCCTCACTGCAATTTATGGAGTAGTTTAATCCTTGTCTAAGATTAATCCATAATCTATGTCTGGAAAACTGTCTCTAGCTGCCCTAGCTGTCATTTATGTATATGAATGATTATAATTTACTCTTTTTGCCACTCTATTCATAATGTGCAGCACAAAAACAATCCAATGTAATCATTTTAAAAACTGACCTGCATTCTCTTATCAAATGACTGGGAATATATTTTCCACATATAGCAGATATTTTCCAGAGATACTGTACTGAAGCACAAGTAATAATCAGCAAACCACTGAACAGCATGTTAAATACTATATAATTGGCGAGGCTCACCTTTGTGGTGTCATCATGTGACCGCTGGTAGCGTTTCCAGCGGCAGCCGTAGATCCCTGTCAGACATGACAAACACAGCTGTCTCTCATAGACCTGCAAGGGTTGGTGCTTCACCATGCTCCTTCAAACTGGACTCCACCCCACCCTTCTACCATCCCACTGACAGCACAGGACCCTGGAGGGAGAGAGAGAGAAAGAGAGAGACAGAGAGAGAGAGAGACAGAGCGAGAAAGAGAGAGGCAGTGTTAGGGAACAGAAAACTGAAGCAATTGCATATATTGTGCTGCATCAGTGTCCTTGGAATAGTAACACTCATCTAGCTTTCATAAACTTCTATGATATTGTGGGCAGGCTGCCTCTCAGAAGCTCTCAGGTATGACCATACAAAGGGCCATATGAAAAGGCTAATGGGAGGGACATACTCCTTTAAAAAGGAACTGTTTATTGTTGTGTTGTTCATTAGTTTGTGTTATCCGCCTTGTTTATGTGTTATTGTGTTGGGGCCTGGGGCCAGTTTCTGGGGTGGAGCGGACAAGAGGACAAGGCTGTGGCTAATGGTGATCCCTGCCCCTGTGAGTTCCACGTGATGTATGTGCCTTTTCTGACTGCTTTAAATAAAAAGAGGAGAATCATGGCGTCATCTGATTCTTCTTCCTCGCCAAGATGCTACAGTATTCTAAACATTACAGATCAATCAAACTTTACTTGTCCTAGAAAGGCAACCACATCAACAGACATTCACTATACGTCCAAAAGTATCCAAAGGTCAACATGCCCAATGCCAAACATCAGCTTTAAGGGTATAAAGCTTGAGCACTGGGCTGTTGAGCAGTTGCACTGCGCTCTCTGGAGTGATGGAGCTCCAGTTGGAGTAGAGGTTGTGATCCAGAACTAATCATCTAACATTAGAACCTGAACTCACTAATGCTCTAGTGGCTGAATGCAATCAAATCATCACGGCAATGTTCCAACATCTAGTGAAAGACCTTTCTAGAACACTAGAGGCTGTTACTGCAGCAAAAGAGGGAAAAAGCTCCCCAATAATCCCTTGATTCCAGATGAAATAATGGATAGAAAGGTGTCTATTTTTGCAAATACAGTGTAATTTAACATTAACAATATTAACCACAAACCCAAACACCAAAGCTCTAAACTGGGTGCCAGTCAAACTGGAGAGGATGTTTATTTGTTTACTGAAGTATTTTTGGCCTTTGAATTAAACAGCTACAAAAGTGGACATCCAGCAATTTGTTTTCACTTTCGGACACCTCAAACGCTGGCCCAAGGGCAGTCATTCAAAGTAATAAACAAAACATGAGAAGAAACGTGAGAAGAAGCCCACATAACACATTGAACCTTCTAATCTGTTGATTATAAAGAGAAGAAAGTGACCTCAGAGGAAGAGCTATTTTTAAGGATGTGCTTACAATCAGGAGAAACAGCTCATGTCTGTGGTTCATTATAGTCTAGCAAAGACTTACTGGTGCTGCTGCAATGAGTCCATTTCCCAAGAACACTGACACTGGTGCCTAAAAACCACAGCAACTAGACATATCCATCATCCTGTCTATGAAGTGAATTCTGAGCTCTGCTCCCACTAAATGCCCAACAGCAATCAGATTTCCCCCCAGCCCTGGCAAATCACAAGTAAATTCACACAAAATATACTCAAATTCTCATTTCTGCAGCTGCTGTCTCAGCAAACTGACTTCCATTGCTTATCAGCCAACACAAGAGGAGCACTAAGCCTCTGGGCTTCTTATCAGAGGAGCTGAGACTATGCTGGAATCAACCAGCCCAGAACATCTTCATATTTACAGTGGTGTGAAAAAGTGCCTGCCCCCTTCCTGATTTCTTATTCTTTTGCAAGTTTGTCCCACTTAAATGTTTCAGATCACCAAACAAATGTAAATATTAGACAAAGATAACACAAGTAAAAACACAAAATGCAGTTTATAAATGAAGGTCTTTATTATTAAGGGAAAAAGAAATTCAAACCTACAGGGCCCTGTGTGAAAAAGTTCCCTAGTCACACCCAGGCTTGATTACTGCCACATCTGTTCTCAATCAAGAAATCACTTAAGTAGGACCTGCCTGACAAAGTGAAGTAGACCAAGCGATCCTCAAAAGCTAGACATCATGCTGCGATGCAACGACATTCAGGAACAAATGAGAAACAAAGTAATTGAGATCTATCAGTCTGGAAAAGGTTATAAAGCCATTTCTAAAGCTTTGGGATACCAGCGAACCACAGTGAGAGCCATTATCCACAAATGGCGAAAACATGGAACAGTGGTGAACCTTCCCAGGAGTGGCCGGCCGACCAAAATTACCCCAAGAGCGCAGCGATGGCTCATCCAAGAGGTCACAAAAGACCCCACAACAACATCCAAAGAACTGCAGGCCTCACTTGCCTCAGTTAAGGTCAGTGTTCATGACTCCACCATAAGAAAGAGACTGGGCAAAAATGGCCTGCATGGCAGAGTTCCAAGATGAAAACTACTGCTGAGCAAAAAGAACATAAAGGCTCGTCTCAGTTTTGCCTTGATGTTTTGATGATCCCCAAGACTTTTGGGAGAATATTCTGTGGACTGACGAGACAAAAGTTGAACTTTTTGGAAGGTGTATGTCCCTTTACATTTGGCGTAGAAGTAACACAGCATTTCAGAAAAGGAACATCATACCATGGTGGTAGTGTGATGGTCTGGGGCTGTTTTGCTGCTTCAGGACCTGGAAGACTTGCTGTGGTAAACGGAACCATGAATTCTCCTGTCTACCAAAAAATCCTGAAAGAGAATGTCCGGCCATCTGTTCGTGACCTCAAGCTGAAGCGCACTTGGGTTCTGCAGCAGGACAATGATCCAAAACACACCAGCAAGTCCACCTCTGAATGGCTTAAGAAAAACAAAATTAAGACTTTGGAGTGGCCTAGTCAAAGACCTGACCTGAATCCGACTGAGATGCTGTGGCATGACCTTAAAAAGGCGGTTCATGCTTGGAAACCCTCCAATGTGGCTGAATTACATCAATTCTGCAAAGATGAGTGGGCCAAAATTCCTCCACAGCGCTGTAAAAGACTCATTGCCAGTTATCGAAAACGCTTAATTGCAGTTGTTGCTGCTAAGGGTGGCCCAACCAGTTATTAGGTTTAGGGGGCAATCACTTTTTCACACAGAGACCTGTAGGTTTGGATTTCTTTTTCCCTTAATAATAAAGACCTTCATTTATAAACTGCATTTTGTGTTTACTTGTTATCTTTGTCTAATATTTAAATTTGTTTGGTGATCTGAAACATTTAAGTGGGACAAACATGCAAAAGAATAAGAAATCAGGAAGGGGGCAAACACTTTTTCATACCACTGTATATTCAAACACAGGCATTTGAAGTTACATTCTGATCATGTAATTTTAACGAATGTGCTAGCTTCCAACATAGGTCAGTAACATGACGATATGTTATCATTTTCGCTATAAATCGATAATTAGCAACACTTTTCTAAGTATACTGCAGGTATTATCAACACTTCTATAAATATGAATACTAATAGACAACCTGTCAACAACAACAGTTATTTTTCATTCTTAAATAGTTGAAGATAGTTAACTTACAGATAATTGAAAAAAATGTAACTGCATGCACAATTTCATAGCCGTTTTAAATGAGACATAGAAGTTACAATACAAACACAGAAATATATAAAATGGAAAAAAAAACTTAGTAAAAGAGTAAGAAAAACATCTATAAATTAAGAAAGACTACACAGTCTGTGTGCATTTGTAACTACGACAACTAACATACCTGTTGTTTTATGTAGTATTCTGTAGCACAGAACAGTATCTCTCAGCCTGAACAGTTAGACAAAATTCACATTTTAATCAGGAATGTGCAGCACTTCAAATCAGAACACTAGCCTACTAGAAAAATTAGTAAGCTGTGTCACTGGCACAGACAAACAATTACACAGCCAGAAAAAAGAGAAATCAATAAGCCTGCCCCCAAAAATCCACCCCAAAGCAGTTGTAGTTTTCAAGACAACATCATCAGAAGGAGGTTTCCCTAGTCTTTAAACCAGAAAACGTCACTCTAGACACTACTGCAGCACCACTGCAGGAGGCAAGTAGGCATGTTTGCCACAGGTGTAGCGATGGTTGCATTTATTTTTATTATATTTTGAGTGTCCATTTAAAATGTATGGCTCTTAACAAAATCAAGAGACAATCAGTTAGGCAGTAACATCCAAAGCACCCTACCCCCTCCAATGGTCCGCATTTTTGCGCCAACCTGACTCACAGCACATAGGAACGGAGGAAAAATGTGGACCGTCTGGGAGGCCCTGAGGACCAGGTTGGGAAACACTGCTATAAACAATACCAAGTCTGGAGGTTAGCAATTTCTCATTGCATGACACTATAGCAATATAGAGATATTGAGTTCCGTGTTCTTTTATTAGACCTGCTGAAAGTGGCAGAAAAGTAATACCTGGCCAATGAATACAAAAGTGCATGGTGAATATGATGCTTTGCATGTGACCCTTTCAAGTACAAAATTTTCAGAGACCCTTTTTACTCAGTGCAATAGGGTCGACACTAACTAACCAATGCAAATCACCTATTATAGCCATTACAGTCAAACGGGCTCAGTCTTCTCTAAAGAGCTAGTCAAAACATCAACTGCACTTAAAAGCATACTCCATCTTATCTGTTAGTACTACATCTACATATCTGCTTAATGTAGCGTTTCTAAGTGGGCCTGAAATGGTTATCAAATCCATCAGAGGCATTTGAGTAGCAGGAGGCAGAGACCACCCGGAGCCCTTCATTTGAACTGCACTGGAGGAAACTGCTGTATCTCCAGTAATTAGCATGTGTACCATTTGGGCTGGTTTAATTCACAAAATGCTGAGGGCCATAATGCAGAGTACGCAAGACTAACTTCACCTCTTCCAAAGTGAACCCTCTATGAAAAAATGCAATAGGATATAGAATCAAATACTGTGTAAGCTATAGATCTCTTACCAGCGCTACATTTGAACAGCAGTCTACCAACCCTTCATCTTCACCTCAAAAGTCAGACAGCACTGTTGTAAAAGCAGCAACTAAACCAATTTAGTGAAAAAAAAGTTCTTCTAGTCTTTTGCGTCCAAAAAAGACAGCTGTATAAAAATTCAAAGTTTT